ATAAGATTTATCTTAACCATTAGGTATAGTAGTTATATATCATGTTTTACTTAATTCACAGTTATATATTATTATTAAGGAAGATATTTATTAAAAGACTGATTTTCCGCGAAGAATATTCTATTTTTTTATAGGTTCTACTACTAGAAATAGCCTTAATTTATATAGGTCTACTATTAATTAGCTAACTATTATTAATCTTAGAGTTGTTATCAGAGAATCAGTTATTGCTAAGTAACCTTATATATATCTTATATTATTCAAACGATTCTAAAGGTAAAGCTTTCATAAGAGTATCTACTATGTTATTATTACCTAGAACATGTTTTACTACTAACTTATTATATGAAACTATATTATCTCGAATATAGAACTAGCGGATATTAATATACTTTGCCTTTAGATAGAATTTCCGTTCTTTTAAGAGAGATTTAGCTCTAGTGTTATTAAGATATAGCGTAGGAATTCGGGATAGCTTTATATCGAGGTCTTTCTATAGCTTAAGTAACTAGGCTGCTTCTCTAGAGCTATCACTAGCAGCTATTATCTTAGAATCTAAGCTAGAGAGAGCTGTAGACCTTTACTTATTAGTAGCCTAAGAGATTAGACTCCTATAGAACCTTACTATCTATCCTTAGAACGATTTCCTGTTATATTCCGTCTCCTACGTAGCGTTAGTTCAAATATCGAATATATCGTTATCTAGCTTTCCCCTATATTCTATTCCGATTCTAAACGTTATTCCGTTACCTTTTATATATTATAGATATCAGAGAAGAAGTTTTATATCTTAGAGGTAAGATTTAAGGGGATTTAATATATACTACGCTAGCTAGCCTGTTTTATAGGTAATATCAGGTCGTATAAGGTTCAAGAGGTATATTAGAGAGCTAATAATCTGCTAAAACAGTAAGATCTCTTCAGGGGAGGCTAGTACAACACCTTTATCTTTAGCTGACTCCCTTAGTACTATTCCAGCGGCTACAAGTAAGGCATTACCTCTAGCTGCGGCTATTCTAAACCTTTCTAGTAGCTTTTATATGTAGGCTATTTAATGAATCCGCAGAGTCTTATTATTCCTGTCTTTCTTAACTTATAAGCTTATAAACGTATCGATAGCTCCGAGGTCTTTACCTTTCTAGGTCTTTAAGAGCTGTTTCTTAAGATATTCACAGTCGGCAGGGTTACTTATAATTAGTATATCATCGATAAAGACTAATATATATACTCTATTCTTAAAGATAAAGAGATTAGGGTCAGCCTCTAACGCTTCTAGACCTAGCTTTTCTATCTTATCTTTAACAAGGAGCTACTATTCCCTAGGTGCTTATTTCAGGCTATAGAGAGAGCGTAAGAGCTTCAGATATACGTCTTTCCTTCTATTCAGCTCTAAGTAAAGCTTATTCTATATCTCCGGCGTCTTATTATTCAGAATCGTTATATATATATCTTCTTTTAAGTACGTGTTCAGGAAAGTAGTATTAATATCAATATACTCGATCTCTAGGTCTCTTTTAGCTGTAATAGCAAGTAGTGCTTATAAAGTGGAATAACGTATAACGCTCGCGAAGGTATTAAAGTAATTAAGGCCATGTTTTTACTTAAAGCCTCTTACTACGAGCCTAGCCTTTCGCTATACTATAGAGCTATCAGAGTTAATTTTATTATATAGAACTAGTCTTGAAGATATCAGTTTCGAGCCGGAGGGAGGCTTACTAAAGTACACTCTATAGGTTCCAGCGCTTTATATAGCCTGTAATTCCTTAAGAATAGCGGCCTTCTATTCTACTAGATTCTCCCTTAGAGCCTTTATAACAGTTATAACCTCAAGAGGTTATATAGATTTACCCTCTAGCGTAATTAGCGCTATTTAATAAGTTAGTGCCTTATTAAGGATTTACTAAGAGTATAGCTTCATAGTTATCACCTAAGTAGCTTACTCGAAGTATTATTTTCTACGCTATTTTCTACTATATCTTAACAGTAGAGTATTATTAGACGCGTTTACTAGTTGAGTCTATTCAGGGAGGCGTTAATCAGACGCTCCCTTAGTATCTCCTACTATATTTTCTGTAGCTAACCTTCCCCTTAAAGGATTTTTAGCTTCTATAGCTGGCCTCTCTCCTAGAGGTCTTTCAGCTTCCATAGCTAGCCTCTCTCTTAGAGGTCTTTCTAAGCCTTTAGCACCCCTAGCTAGCCTCTTAGTAAATACTAGACCGGTAGCTAGTAGCAGAGGTCTTTCTACTGCCTTATCACTGCCTTTTAGTATAGTTTCCTTACTACTAGTATATATAGAGTATATTATATACTCGTTAAAGCCGTAGTCGGCTATTTCTAGTTCCTTAAAGGTTTCTACGTTCAAGAGCCTATAGGTTAAGGTATTAGTTATACCTACTAATACGAAACACCCCGGAATCGTCCTTTGCTTTATTTTACCCTAATGTAGCCCTAGTGGATACAAAGGGTACGCTATAGAGCTAAATACTCTTATTTTAGAGAGGTTTACAGGCCGTCCTCTATACGCTTCAATTAGAGTAAGTCCAGTAGCTATTTTATATAGCAAAGCAGTAGTTAGGCGTCTGTTCTTTAGCTTTACCGCCTACTTAATAGTGTAGCACTATATATTCTTAAGTATCTTCGCGTTATAGAGGATTAAGCGTGTAATCTTAGCTAGTTTATATATCTATCGCTCTACGACTCTATTCAGAGAGTGTTTATATAGAGGAGAGGGTTTAGGAACGATTCTACTCTCTTATAGCTAGTTAATACACTCAGGACCGAACTCTCCCTTACTATTATTAGTCCTCTAGTAGATAATTATACGGAATTTACTTTACCCTTAAGTTTTAAGCTATAGTTTCAATTTCCGAATAACTAGTTAAATAGTTAACGCAGACTTATCAACTAAGAGATCTACCTAACATATCCTCGTAGTATTATCTACTACTAAAAGGAAGTATTTATAGCCGCGAATTAAGCGTAGTAAGATACCAGAGATATTAGCGTGTAGTTAATAAATAAGTATATCAGTTCTACTATCTGACTTCTTATTAAAGTACTCTTTTATACGGCCTACAAGGCAAGCCTTATAACACCTCTCTTCCTTTAGCTCTAGAACAGAAATCAGTCTTATTCCGTAACCGCTATAAGTAACTAGTTTCTTTAAATAGGCGTAATTTATATAGCCTAAACGCCTATAGAGCAGATCTGCCTTTATTTCCTCTGTGCTAAGCTAACTCTCTATTCGTTCCTTTAGTAGCTTTAAGTCTAACGGAATTACGTTATACGTAACTTAATATCGAGGATTTATATCCAAAATATATAAACCTCCGTTTCTTATGCTTATAAAGGCTAGTTCATTATTCTAGTATCTATTTACTAATATCTTAGTTAGTTCCGTATTAATTCCTTCGTCTAAGAGTTAATATATTAATACTAGCTTTATAGCTCTGAAGTCAGGTATATATTACACGTCTTTAAGGGTTAACCTATTAATAGTAATATCTCTATAACCTTTAGCTATTGAGTACGAATTAGTCACTGTTTTAATATATTTAGCGTTACGCTAGCGCTTGAGTTACTTGAACTTAGCTAGAACTCCACTGAAGTAGCGAGTAGCGCTAGAGTTGATTTTCCAGATAGATTCTGTAATAGAGATTATTAATAAAGTATATTCTACGTCTTTAGTATAATAAATCTCTTCTGAAAAGAACACGGGATAAGTATTATTATTTTTAATTTCCTCTACTTTATTAGCGCTATCTCTCGCGTAGGTATTCTTAGCTTCTGTATAGTCTGTGTACTAGTAGCTATAGCCTTTATACCAAGTATACTAATTTCGGCCTAATTTAGGGCGATTTCCTCTTTTTTCCACGCGCTCTCTATATCTCTATTAGCTACTACCCCTGCTATTATTATTCTGTCTTTCCTATTCTCTTCTATTCTTACGTATATTACCTCTCCCACGTGAGTAGCCTCTACCCCTCTAGCCTCTACTATCTCTACTACCTCTCCCTCTATTATAGCCTCTATTCGCGTAGTTCGCAGTATTACTAGTAGCTACAAGTCGAAGCTATTCTCTCTATTAAATTTAATATTTATTAAGCTTTCGTATAGTATCTCTAAGATCTAGGTCTTACGATTCTAGGGTAAGCGCTATAGTAATCCAAGCTCCGGACGCTAGTAATAACTGTAATAGCTTAAGACGTATATCCTTATTAGTAAGAGGTTTACTATCGCCGCTGAGCTTTACTTTAAAGAGTAAGAGCCTTATAATATAGTTCTGAAGTATTTCCTCCCCCGGGATAAACTTTATCTTAAAGAAATCGTCTCTTATATTAGCAAAGGCAAGACTCCCTTGAACTACTTTACCTTCGTTAGCGTAAATAGCTTCCTAGAGAGGCTTAGTGTTATTTAGTTTAATAATATCTCTATACTTAGGAAAGAGAAGCTTAGAGATTAAGTTAATAACTATTTTAAAAGCTTCCTTCTTTTCCTTAGCGTAAGTATTCTGCTGATTAATACTATTTAGCACGCTAACTTTAGTAAGAACGTGATAAAGAACACTAGCCTTAGCTAGCTCTTATTTAGTCTTAAGCTCCTATTTAAAGAAGTTATTAAACTCTAGTAAAGTTTTGCCTTTTAAGGCTCCGGTAACGTAGGGAATTAGTACTTTTAATTAGGATAATATCATAGCGTAGTAGCAGATACACTAAGAGTTAATAAAGTGAAGATCTTAATAAAAATGAAGTTTTAAGGTCTTTTTCGATCGATTAGAATTACTACTATGTTATAATTACAGTTGCATAAGAAGCTACTACAGAGAGAGAGAATCTCCTATATAAAGGGGTAGCGTACTCAGTAGTACGGCCTACAGTACTGAGTCTACGCCTATAATCCCCATATTTCTAACAAATTAGACTTGCGTACCCCTAGGGCGCACCCTAAATCACGTTTTACCCCCAGTGCACCCTAGTGCACCCTTTTGCGCAGGTGCGCTCTAGCCCTTACTAAAAATCTATTGCGCATACGCCTCTATACTAACACAGGTGCGCCTCTGTACCATTTGCCGTTACGCGGAGGCGGTATGTGGCGCAAAATCTTAAGCGTAAGGCTATCGCTCAGTCTTTTTCTCACCGAACAATGTCGATCGTATTTCAGATCGGAATAAGCATGAGAAAAGCCTTGAAAAGAGCGGATATTGAGCGGATATTGAGCGGATATTGAGCGGATATTGAGCGACTGGTGTTACGTCACGGCTTCATACCGTCTCCGTCTCCCCAATGTGATTAAATAGTTGAATTGATCTTGAAGCAGTTCATCCTATCTCAGCCGCTGTCACATCGAAAATCCCCAGACTCCGCTCGGCAGTGCAAAAGGGGCGCCGAATCAACTTACCGTAAGCGAGACAACATCATCATCCCTCGCTGGAAGCTCAGCCGCAATTCCAAGTGCACAAAACAGAAAAAAAAACAAGGCTGGCGACGGGCGTCTCCAACCCCCGTTGCACAGCGAATGAACTCGGATGCCGAGGAATTGATGTGTCACTTGAGGCATTTCCATTTCTCCGTCCTTAAGGCGTTCACGTCCACCCACACCCTGAAGTGGAGCCCAGTACTCGAGGAAACAAGGACATGGCTGGCAATTAGACATGTCGAGCAACTTCCAGTTCGCATTTTTAGGATGCCAGAATAACTATCTCGCAAGTGTAACTGAGATAACTGCATCTGAGAGACCTGTTGGGCCATCCATTACAGAAACGTGAGTCTTGTCGACACTACTGTATTATTTGAAAAGAACTGACAACTTTCAATTTTAGGTACGGCCTCCCCGACGGCTTTGCAGCAGAGTACAAAAAGTATGCCCGCAAGAAATACTTCTTTAATATCCGTGGGCACGATTCGCTGTCGCATATCGGACGATGGCACACCCTCACATCAGAAGGAAACGTCAAAGCGTGTTCAAACAGCTATGCCGAGATTCCTCAGTTGGCATCACTTGCTCTCCAGAACGCTGGTAGAGCAAAACGAAACTGTACTCCGAGTATGAACGTAACTTTTGGACCTCAGCCAGGGAGCTTCTTCGCGGATTTATGCGAGGTAAAAGAGTACAGGTGGTCGCACCTGCCGCCGAGCTTGGAAAGTAAATTACAGAGCTTGATGACCGCAAATGCAACATTTCTCAGGAGGGGGATCTATGGAAAGATATTTGATGTTGCTATAAATGCTAGTGAGGGCTGGGTGTTGTTGATGAAGAAGGGCGAGAAGTATGAGCGGGGTGGTGAACTGCCGCCCGAGTTGATCAGGGCCTTGGAGCTTGGTGTCGAGAGGAAAGCTGCCATCAGCGTAAGTCAACTTTTGGGGTAGACACAGGGAATGGATCTTGTTTGTTGACGTTTCCGAAGCGAATATTCCTAAACCACCAAAATCCTTTCGAATACGTCCTTCTATTCTCTGACGGAATAGCTCACATCAGTCTTCACGAAGACTTCCACGAGCCATTGAGAAGGCTCCTCAAGCTGTGGGCGACGAATCGCCATCTCTCTGACAAGTTCCGTTTTCATCCGCGATCCACTTGCGCATACCCAAAACCGTACCAAAGAAGTCTCAATGCATGTTATTACAATGCACGAGGACTTTTTCATCTTGCTCGTGGTAACAATTTACTGGCCTTGAGTTATTTCAACGAGGCGCATGAGCAGAACAGAAGCAGTGAGGAGATACATTTGAATCTGGGGATGGCACTCGTTGCTGTGCGGAAAAGCCGGCAAGATGAAGAGCTGGAGATCTACTTGGCAACGGAGAAAGATCTCAGACCAAATCCAATAGTGCTGAAAGAGGGAGAATTGGGAAACTTCAGAATGTCGTATGTTGGGATGGATTCTAGGGGCTGGGACATGGTCATGCTTGAGCGGGGCTTGGATGGATTTATGGAAAGAGTTCGGAGTACAACATGCGAGTCATGGACTTGTAGTATGGTTGGGGAGATGATGGAAGTCTGGGTAGAGAAAGGTCCGATCGAAATGCCGGGAAATCCCCTAGATGGCAGGGTATATTCGCATGAGTTGAGCGGAGGCCATGAACACGGCTGATGGGGTCCGCCATTGGTAGGGGTAGACCAGAGTGCTCTTTATGTACGAGAGCGGTTGGCGACAGTTTGCCAGGACAATAGATGAACCGAACTACATATCATTGTCAACAACCTAACCTATGTACTTTATGAAAACTGCCATTATTCTTCGCACCTTTTCGTTGCAAGTTCTCAGACCAGCAATACATCAGTCATTCCATATCGTCATCCTCGACCTGCGTCTCATTATTGACCCTCAAACTGTAATTCGCAAATATACTACGTTGTCTGATGCGCATCCCGAGCTTCATCAGCAGAGGCGGAGTCACACAGAACACAGTCGCAACACATGCCCATACAACAGTTGCCTAGTTGGATCCCAAATTGACATACATAGGCTCGCCGATGAGAGGGAAAATTCCTCCAAGTACTGCGCGCAGAAACGACATTGCTGCAAAAGCTGAAGAAGCATATATGGTGTAGGTGTCTGCGAGGTACCTGGAAAGCGTGCAAGCGAACTCATTGTTGCGAAACCAATGGGGATAAAACCAACGATCGAGGCATACCACGGCAGGTTGGATGCTGGTGGTATTGACAATATAAGCCACCATAATCCGAAGGCGAGGCTGGGTGCGGCGTATGTGAAACCAACGAGCTCATCTTCTGTGTCAGGGGGCAAATCGTTAAGGTATGGAAGTCTGTTATTGCTAACTATATATAGTACCGCCCTTTAAAAGAGTTATTACTAACTAAGGCTAACTAACTCCTGATTAGCTCTTATTCCCCTAATATCTCCCCCCCTTAAGGTAAAAATGCTCTACTCCTGTAAAGTTAGAACTAAAAAAAAAAGTAATACTTCTTTTATAAAAATAATAATAATACTTCTCTTTTTTTTTTAAAAAAAAAAACTATAATTATATAACTATTTATCTTTTATCTATTTATTCTATAGAAGTTATACTTTTAATATTAAGTTCTAAGCCTTTAAAATTTCTAGTTCCTTTAGTTAATCTGAGTTTATAGACAAGCTTAAGGCAGGTAATATTAGCTATTAAATTTTTCTTAGTTAAGGTATCTTTAGAGATAGAACTATTAGTACCTTTAATGAAGCTGATAAAAGTATAACTTATATTAAAGTCGTTAGTACTAATAGGAGTTATAGCGTTAATTAGACTAGTACTGTAAAGGAACTTAATATAACTACAGTTAGTAGTAAAAGCGCAGCTAGTAATATAATATTAGGAATAAAGCCTGAAGAAGGTAGGTTAGTTTGTTATTAGCTATATAGTACTATTAGTCTAGCTTAAGGGTACTAATAGGGGTTAAATAAAGGAACTATTATCCTGAATAATTGTCTATTTAGTGTATTTCCCTATCTTTTCTGATTAACTTTATCTTTAATAGTATATATTATCTAGGTAATAGTTCTTGCTCACTTTACTTTAAAAGCTTTATATAAATCTTATAAAAATAGTATTTTGTTATCTACTAAGTCTATAACACGTTAGTTATAGTTTAGTGCCTTATTTTATACTTATAAGGCTTATACTAGATTAAATATGAAGTTAATGTAGCGTACTCTTTTCAGTCTTATAGTATTCTGTAGTAACGCTTTAATACTAGTAGTATCTGTTATTAGTACGTCTAGAGTTTTATTATAACTTCTCTTTATATATCTTTTTCCTTATAAAGTAATTATAGAGGCTAAAGACAAGGGAATAACTTACGTGTGTATTACGTTAGTTTATAAATCTAGAGGTAATAATACTAAACTAGGTATATAAATAAGAACTTAAGAAAGTAACGTCTAAGAAGTGTAACTATCTTTTTTTAAGTTACTTTAGAAAATTAGTCCATACTAAGAGAGACGGCTGTAAAACTATAATATAGTTTCCTTATTAAAGTTCTCAGCCTTAACTAGTAATTAAGAGGGAATAGCTTATTAAAAGACTAGTAAAGAGGATAATATATTAAATAAAATAACAGAGGTTAAGATAGTAAGATCTGAAGCGCTATAAAGAGCTAAGTATATGTCTTTTACTAGTACTAAGATATTATAGTTTAACACAGAGATATCAAGCTTTAGTATTAGTATATAATAAGATAGAACTATTAGTAGTACTATTCTAATAGTCTTAAGTCTAATAGTATATATAATATTACTTATAAGTAAGATTATAAATCAGTAAGTAGTATTAATAATTATATCTAGCAAGGAATCTAATATAATAACTAGATTAGTAATCTCTTTAAGGAAACATATGTATTCTACTATAACTACTCGGCTAATTAAAAGTATTTAGTTAAGCTTCTCTCTAATCTCGAAGATTTTAGTAAAGAACCTGTTACTTTAGTTATTAGCTATAGTATTTAATACTATATCGAATCCCTTTAGGATATTTTTTAACACTACTTAGTTTCGTTTAGCGTCAGATACTATATATATATATATACTATAAAATATCAATACAGACGCTATTACCTATAGGAAAATTTCCTAACTAGGCTCTATTAAATTATAGCCTCTCGTAAGGACTTAGCTTATAATCCAATCGCGCGTAAAACTAAGAGATATTATAAAACCTTTATTCTTCTTTTAATCTATAATATCTTTAAGAGCTAAAGCAGCCTAATTAAACGTGTTCTATACACTTAGCAGCTAGAATAGCTAAAGTTAGCTTACAAATAGTATCTCTTTATCTTTATATTAGTACTTTAGTAGTTCGCGTGCTATAAGCCGTTATTAGCGTTTAACTTCTTACAGTTCCTGTAGTACTAGTAATAAAGCTATTTTATAATAACTGATACTAGGGATTAATACGAAATAATAGTAGAAATTTATCTATATTTTATATATAATATCCGCTTAAGTAAGAGTGCTACTATTATAAATAATAATATCTTTATTTAGATAGATAAAGTAATTAATTCTTTTATCTAACACTTAGACCCTGTTTTACAGGTAATTAACTAAAGCTAATCTTAGTTAGAAGAGAATATTATATAGTACCTAGTTAAAGTATAAGTAACTGTTATTAAGATTAATATCTGTAAAGAACTATATAGCTAGGTTAGGTTAATTAAAGTTAATAAAGGCCGCTTTAAAGTAAAAGTCACTAGGTTAAATACCGGTTAGTAAAAATACTAGACTAGTAGGGCTATTAAAATATATAAAACTAGTAGTAGATAATTTTAATTCTAAGGTACAAGTTTTACTCTCTCTATCGGATTTATTAATAGGGATCTTATAATAAGGTATTATAGCTTAGTGTATCTTATAGGGAACGTTACTATTAATGTCATTATTAATAAGAGTATTCTCGTTTTTATAGTTTTAGAGATAGAACTAGGCCAGATTTGACTTATTATAGATAAAACTAATAATATTATTTAACTTATAACGTATAGTATAGTTATTACGAGAAATATCTAAGTGGAGGAACTTATATTTTATATTATTATATAATATAGAGATTAATATTTATAAAATCAGAGTGAGAAAGGTAAGAGGTGAGGCCGATATATCGATATTCTATAATAGCGCTTTAGTAGAACTGTTAATCGTTAGAGATAGTTCTTAATAGTTAAGCTTCTCTTGATTACTCTTCTTTCTTTTCTTTTTATTATCTTTTTTCTTTAGTGCTATTATAGCGGTCGCTGATTATTAATAGTGATAGTAGAGGTATAAAGTTAATATTTAAAGATAATAAGATTATAAAATTATTTAGAGAGGAAGAGGTATTATAATTTAATATCGCTATAAAGCTTTAAGTAAAAATAAATAATATACGATTTACTAAAATAGTTATTATATAGATAACTACTAATAATACGATAAGGAATATTTAAAATTATCTACTAAGTTTAAAACGTCTTCTTATAATATCATAGCTAGTTCTTATAATATAGTATAGTATTTAAGGTGTTTAACTTTGTAGTACTATTTTCTAGTGTAGTTATCTGGTTCTTTATAGAGTTCTTTACAGAGAATTTTCTTAATAATATACTACTTATTACTTTAATTATCGTGAATAAGTCCAGGCTCTAGCTATTTCCTTTAAAATAAGTCGTCGACTACTAGTTCTAAGTGCTTAATAGAAATTACTAAGTGTATATCTATCTAGTCAAGTAGGTCAAGTCTATAAGATAGTAGTCCTAGCTTCTTAATTATCTTATAAGGTCTAGCTTTAATAAATAATAGCTTTATCTAGTTTTACAGAAGTTTATACTTATATTTTGTACCTTAGGCTAATTTAATATATATCTCCTACTTTAGTTCTAGCGGTAGTAGCTATCAGCTCTTATTATAGAGAAGCTTTATTCTTCCTTATATTAGCTTAATACTTTTAACTGCTTTCTGGAATAATATTTAATAGTGCTTAATAAATCTCTCTTTTTCTAGTTTAGTAAAGGTATTTAAAGCCTTAAGTACTTTAAGTTCTAGTAATAATTTAACTTTATACCCGAATCTTAGCTTATATAGTGTAAATCTAGTAGAACTATTTTCAGATATATTAAAGATAAATATAATAGCTAGAACTAAGTCTTCTTAATTAGATTAGTCGAATTTACTAGTGATAATATACTGTAGTATATAAATAAATATTTAATTTAACTGTTCCGATTAACTGTCCGCTTTAAGGTTATTTACTATTATAAAAGCTAAGCTGATATTAGTAAAACCGTAGACATCTCCTTAAAACCCGCTTATAAAACAACTGTCTTTATTAGTAATTATTTTCTCTAGTACTCTTATATCTATAAATGCTTCTCTATAATATATACTCGCCTACTCTTCTTCGCCTTAATCTTTAGAACTAACGATTACTTTAACTTATTTTGTAAGCTAATTAGTGATAACTATAACTGTATTATATTTTTACTTAGAAGTCAGGAACCCGGTGATTAGATCTATATAGAAAGTGCTCTGCTATTATAATAGAGGGGCTATTAGTATAAGTTCCTTGTTTAGGAAGGTTCTCTTAGGCTTTACTAATTTATAAATCGGATAAGTAGTAATATAGCTCTTAATAGTGTGTTATATTTTCTTTATAAATACCTTATCTTATAAATAATTATATATTTGATAAGTATTAACGTGAGCTCAGTTGTTATATATAATTCTAAGTACCCTTGAAACTAGCTTATTAAAGATATATATATGTTCTGTTTTATCTGGATCTTGAAAGAATAGTAGCTTAGTTTTAAGGTTAAAGCGGAA